GTACTCCTTGTTTCTCAAAAATTGTTTTTTTCGGTTTATTATATTTGGGTAAAATTATTTTTATACTAAATTATTTGGAAATTGAGGTGAAATTTAAAAATTAATTTAAAATTCTACAATATAAAAATTGATATAACTATATTATTTTATCAAATTAACAATGAAAATAGATTAATAAAGTGATGAAAGTTAACGTTGTAAATAGTGAACATACTATTTAAATGGGAACAGAGAGAGTACGGGTTTTGAAATTGAAATGAGAGTAAGTTCCCAAAATGGTTATTTCCAATGAAGTGTTTTCCAAATTATCTCTCTAATGTTACCGGACTTTTTGCCCAAACCAAAAATGACCCAGACATTCTAGGGCACCTCCAATTAGGGGTGAGCAAACGGGTCAAGGAACCGGGAGTCGGAACCGAACCGCTAGGTTCGGTCCGGATTAGGTGCGGGTCCTCTTTTTCGAAAATTTATAACGGTCCGGGTCGGTCCAGTCCTTATAGATTTTAGGGTCGGTCTGATTCCCTATTTTGAAATTGTATTGGACCCGGACCGGACCATTTTTTAATACCCCAATATTATTTTTAGTAAATACACCATTTTTAATAACCCAGTCTTCTTTTGTTGTTGTTGTTGTTGGATGATCATGGAGTTTACACTTTACTCTCATGCCCCCCTTATTCATTGTTTTATCTTCATTTAGACCTCTTTTTTGTGTTCGATGACTTAAAACAGGCAATGAAGATAGTACATTGTTGTGAACTAATGGTGAATGACCATGTATGTATTATTATTTTATTATCACTTTATTTTTTTTAATATTAATATCATGATAGGTTTGGACCCGTTGACCCATGGAATCGGCTCGTTTCAAACAAGCCGGGTTAGGTCCGGTTTCAATTTTAAAATTTTGAAAACCTGTTTTGGTTCGGACCGTTTTAATAAAAACAAGCCGAGTCCAGTTTATACAAATCTTGGCTCGGACCGGCCTGTGCCCACCCCTACCTCCAATGCTCTAGGGTGGTCCAGAACCCCC